GGGGCGCCTAGGTGGCTCAGTGGGTTAAGCCTCTGCCTTTGGCTCAGGTCATGATCCCAAGGTTCCGGGATTGAGCCCGGGCTATCTGCTCAGCAGGGAGCCTGCTTCTCCCTCTCTCTGCCTGCCTCTCTGCCTACTTGTGATCTCTCTCTGTGTCAGATAAATAAATAAAATATTTTTTAAAAAGAGATCAGGAGGGATGCCTGGGTGGCTCAGTTGGTTAAGCGGCTGCCTTCGGCTCAGGTCATGATCCCTGCATCTTGGGATCTAGTCCCACATCGGGCTCCTTGCTAAGCAGGGAGCCTGCTTCTCCCTCTGCCTCTGCCTGCCACTCTGTCTGCCTGTGCACACGCTCCCTGACCAAAAAAAAAAAAAAAAAAAAAAAAAAATCAATCAATCAGGAGTTTTATAAATATCTTAAAAGTTTCGTTTTTAAAAAATAGTGGTCTTTTACACATTTTAATTTCCCACACTTAAAAATTGGGATATTTTGTATAAAGATCTGTATTTTCCAGTTCTCTTGAAAAAGGTACCCAATTCTCCCATTTCATGAATGGGGCACCTAAGATTCAGAAAGGAAAGAGGAAAACATTCAGTAAGTGCTTGCGATCCTTATGTCTATTTATAACAGCCCTGTGGAGATCAATAATATTGTCTCCCAGGGCCCCTGGGTGGCTCAGATGGTTACGCTTCTACCTTCCGCTCGGGTCGTGATCCCAGGGTTCTGAGATCGAGTCCTGTATCTGGCTCCCTGCTCAGTGGGGAACCTGCTTCTCCCTCTCCCTCTGCTGTTCCCCTTATTGTGCTCTCTCTGTCGTCAAGTAAAGAAATGGAATCTTTTTTTTTAAGATTTTATTTATTTATTTGACAGACAGAGATCACAAGCAGGCAGAGAGGCAGGCAGAGAGAAAGGAAGGCTCCCCGCTACGCAGAGAGCCCAATGCGGGGCTCGATCCCAGGACCCTGGGATCATGACCTGAGCTGAACGCAGAGGCTTTAACCCACTGAGCCACCCAGGCGCCCCTAAATGGAATCTTTAAAAAATAATAATAATATTGTCTCCCTCTGACAAATGAAACAAAGCTTAGAGAACTTAAGTAATTTGCTTGAAGTCACAAAGCTGGTAAGTAGCAGATTCCAAAGCTCATGATCTTTCTGTTGCACCAAATTATCTTTCCGACATGAAATTACATGAAGAAATTGGTGGCAGAGCCAGTTCTCAAACTGAGTCTCAGTCTTCAGAGGCCAGGGCATAATTTGGATGTTGGGATTACATCTGGTCAAACTTTTGCTCTTCCTCAGAGCAAGGAAAAAGGGACAGATGCCTGGATACTCACACTCAAGATCTCCGCTCTGGTTGTGTGGGCCCTGCTATGTGCCTGGTACCATCCTAGGTATTAGAGATGCCTAGATGGAGTAGTGAACAAAACAGACAAAAAGCTTGGCAGCTACAGCACTTTTAAGAGTGTAAAAATGTAAACAAGTAAATCAACAAGATAATTGCAGATAATGTAATTAATAGGGCAAGTGGATACGATAGAGTGGGTATGGTTGGGGGCTTTCTTATTTATTTATTTAGGAGAAGGAGAGAGAGAGAGTCAGGGGAAGAAGGGACAGAGGGAAAAGGAGAGAAGCTGAGGCAGACCCTTTGCTGAGCATGGAGCCCGATGCTGGGCTCAATCTCAAGACCATGAGATCATGATCTGAACTGAAATCAGGAGTCAGATGCTTAACCAACTGAGCCACCCAGGCACCCCTTGGGGGCTTCTTTCATGTGCGTAGGGAAGGCATCTCAGGAAATAATACTTGAGATGAATCTGGAATGATGAGAAAGGATTAGGCATTTGAAAATCTGGAGGAAAAGTGTTCTAGACAAAACTGCAAAGGCCATGGGGCACCTGCGTGGCTCAGTGGGTTAAGCCTCAGCCTTCCACTCAGGTCATGGTCTCAGAGTCCTGGGATCGAGCCCCACACTGGGCTCTCTGCTCAGTGGGGAGCCTGCTTCCTCCTCTCTCTCTGCCTGCCTCTCTGCCTACTTGTGATCTCTCTCTCTCTCTCTCTCTCTCTGCCAAATAAATAAATAAAGGCTTTAAAAATTAAAAAAAAAAACCTGCAAAGGCCTAAGGTGAGAATAAGCTTGGCATATTTGAGGAACAGAAAGAAGGTTTGTGCAGCTGGAGCCAAGTGAGTTAGCAAGGGGAAATGTAACATGAGAGATGGAGTAGATGTGGGAAGGGGCCAGGTTATGCCTGGAACCCCAGTTCTAGCAAAAGGCTTGCCCTGATTCAATCAGTGAGAAGACTCAGCCGGGAACAGTGAAAAGTCACCCCTGGAAGGGTGTCCTGCCAGAGGAGGGCTTTGGAATAGATGCTTGGAAAAGAAGAAAAGGACTTCTGTCCACTTGTTCTACAAACATGTACAAGTATATACCTGAACTCAGATTCAGTTCCTGTTCTTGAGAATCTCATAGTCTAGCAAAAAAGATTGTAATTAAAATATATATTTTATATGAATAAGTATAAATATATATGTATGAAAGATAAGCAGTAGGTCTATAAATGTTCTGGCAGATATTAAGATGAATGAATAACAATAACCCCTTGGGAAGGGAGTGGTTATCGGGAGCGGGCTTCTCTGAGGAGATAAATGTGAAGGACCTTCAAAGATGACATATTGACAAGGAGGTAGCAGCTTGTGGGACTGTAAACTCTTGTGAAGACCATATCATGTTCCAAGGACACTGCGCACCGAAGTATTTAGTGAGGCCTATTGTGTTCCAGGGTCCTGCTGGGACAGTTCACTGTTTGAGTTCAGATCCGTTTAGAACTTTGCTTCAGTTCTTGAATGCCCAAGGACTTGGGAGCAACCTCTTCTGTCTGCCTAGAAGACTCCAGCTCCTATACCATCCCTCACTCCTCCTTTCTTAGCTTACTCCAAGTCAATCTGTAGGGCTAAACATAGCTGCCACTTCTTTGGAAAGGCCCTGGAATCAGTTAGGACTCTCTTCTGTAGCTGTTCTTCCTGCATAGTCCTTTCTACACTTGTAATTATTTGGCCAACGTCTGTCTTCTGCATAGAAACTGAGGCCAGAGACTGTTACTCATCCTCGTAACCCCCACACCCAGCACACAGTTGGTAATCATCCTCAAGAAGTTCTCCATGTTTCAAGTGCTCAGAAGAAGTAGATTCTAACTCAGGCTGGAGGTTCAGGGAAGGCTTCGGGGAGAAAGCAATGCTTGAAGTGGTCTGACTTGGAGAGCTGAACAGGTCGGGGGTGGGGTGGCGGAGGGAATGAGCATTCCAAGTAAAGAAGCAATATTTAGGAAGCACAGGGCTGAAACCACACAAATGGAAGACCTTGAATGCCAACCTGGATGCCAAGGAGTTACATTTTCCAGAGGAGACATATGGAGCTACGGCAGGGTTTTTAATAGGGAGCGACACAAACAGATGTAATTTTACAAAGATCACTGCAGGAGACTGGTAGGGTGGGGAAACACGGAAACCAGCAGGGGCGATCTTCCAGACGCCCCCCAAAGGCCTCCGTTCAGGCCTATGGGTGCGTGTGCCCCTAAGGACCGAAGCCGCCAAGGACCCCAGGCCTGAACGCAGCATTTCGAGTGTGTAAAGCAACTTGGCAGGGGTGGGAAGCTCGAGAGGAAGGGCGCAGTAGGCGGCTTCCCTTGGTTTCTAGGGAAGCCGGGCCCGTTGTTAAGATCTCGCGAGAGCCTCTGTCCAGGAACCAATACCCCATGGAGACCGCCCAGACGCCCAACCCGCGAAGTTGCAGAGCGGTCCTGCACTTCATTTCTTAGATGGGTGAACTATCCTCGTCTTTTTTTTTGTCACTAGCCAATCAGGTCGGTTCCTCTTTGCTTTCTTTCCTACTGGCGCCCTCCTCGGAAAAAGCTAGGAATTGGGAGTCTTGCTCTTGATGACGCATGGGTCGCTGGGAAAATATGGTTGCTTTTTCCGGGGGATAAAGAGGCATCCCCTTTGCCCTCCCTTTGGGCTAAGCAGTCAAATGACCTGCTTCTCGCCCAAAAAAAAAAAAAAAAAAAAAAAAAAAAAGGGCCTCGGGGAGGCGGGGTTTCCCAGTAGGCAGAGCCTCAGTTTGGGGGACCTCCGTGCCTGAACTAGACAGACGGCCACATTTCTCTCTCCCCCACCTGTCGCCATAGCAACGGCGCTCCCCGATCTACTCTGTCTACCCCCACCCCACCCTCACCCCCGGGGCGCCGAGTGTTTTTCCTTTTAGGGGTCGCGCTCGACGTTGTGACGTAGGTGGCGCCTGTGGACAGCCAGAACTCAGGTCTGGGGCATCAGCTGACAGACCTGATGGCCGTTTTTTCCAACTAGCTGGAAAGCGGCTGACTATTCCAACTTCTTTATTTGACCGGCTCGAAGAGGGCAAGGGACCCTCACAAGTTAACCCCGAGTGGTGAGGCTTTGACACCTTCCCCTACCCCCTCCCCGTACACACACAAGCAGAGTCCAAGCTTCAGACAAGAAAGTTTATTGGCCAGGAGATACACAGAGATGTGGCTGTCCTGCCTTGGAGCTTCCCTGGCCTCTCCTCACTCCAGTCCCGCCCTCACCCAGCCACTTTGTCTCTGCTGCCATCCACCAGGACCTGGGCTTGGCATCGAGTGTATGACTGCTCCTCCTGCTGTTTCTGGTCTATTCCGCCAGCGTCCAGGTGTTAGGGCTGGTTGGGGTTCTCCAGGGCAGGAAGGTCTGGGCTGTCCAACAGCACCCTTCCTGGCTAAGACCATGTCTAGTGGCCTAAGACTGCATACTGCAATCCACATAGCAATACTTTTCCCATCAGAAGGTTCAAGATGCCCCCTGCCTCTCTACCACCCCCAAACTCCTGAAGTCTCACTGCTGTGGCTCAAAGTCAAAACCACCCTGTTCGGTGCTGGCCAGGGTGCTGGTCTCCTAGAGGCAAAGTTGGGTGGGATCAATTCTTAACAGGTTAAGAGGCAGCAGAATTTAGGGTTTTTTAGGGCCCTCAGGCTAAGGCCAGTTTATTCATTCAATAAGTATGGAGTGCCTACACTATTCAGAATATGAGGCAGTGTTCTAGAAGCTGGGGGTATAGACCATACCGTCAAGGTCCTGACTGAGCCCAGCCAGGACAGTTTCCTGAGCTTCAAGGTCATTGTCTCCAATCTCTATTTCTATCTATTCACTCCTTTCTCCCACTTCTTCCCCTCCTTCTCCCTCCCACCACCTCCCCGGCCCTTTAGTCTCTGCTTAAGCAGCAGACACCCTCCCTTTGGTCTCCTGGGCTTCCATCTTCACTGGACCCCATCATTCCAGTCCTGTTGGTGGCTCCTCCTTGAGGGGCCTTGCCCGACCATCCCCTGTCCCAAAGGGCCTCAGAACCAAGTGCCCACGCTGGTGCTTGATGCGGGCAGAACTGTCCCCAAAACCTTTGCCACACTCTGCGCACTTATATGGCTTCTCCCCAGTGTGTGTACGCCTGTGTTTGACCAGATCTGAGCTCCGGGGGAATTCTTTCCCACAGAAGCCACACACATGGGGCTGGCTGGGTCCGGAGGGCTGGGCTCGGGCTCGGGGTCGAGGGGCTGTGGGGGCCGGGCCAGGGGGGTTGTGTGGCCTCAGGAGAGTGGATGGTGGGTGTGGCCGAGCCCGTTCACCACGGTGGGTACGGAGGTGCTTGACTCGGGCTGAGCTGTCAGCAAAACCCTTGCCGCACTCGGGACAGAGGTAGGGTTTCTCCCCTGTGTGCACGCGATGGTGTTTCACTAGGTCCGAGCTTCGGCGGAAGCCCTTGCCACACTCAGGGCACTTGTGGGGCTTGTCCCCTGCCAGTGGTGGGGGGGGCTCCCCAGCTTGGGGGCCCCCGGGCTCTGGCTCCAAGCCAGGCAGGCCAAACGGCCCATCACCTGAATGTGAAGGGCTTCGAGGTGTCAGCGGGGGACTCGTGCCAAGGGGAGGTGGGGGTGGGCTTGAGCTGGGGGGTGGGCTGGGGATCAGGGGCGCCAGGGGGTAGCCTGGGAAGCTGAAGTCCTGGGGCTCCATGTGAGTGAGGCGGTGGCGGAGAAGGGTGGAACTGAGGCTGAAGGTGCGATCACATTCTGGGCAGGCGTGAGGCCTCTCCCCACTGTGGGTGCGGAGGTGTTTGACCCGGGCAGAGCTGTCAGCGAAGCCCTTGCCACACTCAGGGCACAGGTAGGGCTTCTCTCCTGTGTGCACCCGCAGGTGCTTCACCAGGTCTGAGCCCCGGGCAAACTCCTTTCCACACACATCACAGCCAAAGGGTTTGGGCCCCAAGTGACTGCGCTGGTGGCTCAGAAGGCTGCAGCTGAGCACAAATCTTTTGCCACAATCGGTGCAGATATACGGCTTGTCCTGGGCCCTGGGTCCCTGGGTGGCTGCTGTGGCTGCTCGAGAAGGCTGCCGTCTGGGCACCACGGGCCGGGGAGGCTGCTCCCCCCGGTGTGTCCGCTGGTGCTTTATGCGAGCAGAACTATCACCAAAGCCCTTGCCACAGATGCCACACTTGTAGGGCTTCTCACCCGTATGTGTCCGCTGGTGTTTCACCAGGTCAGAACTCTGCCGGAAGCTCTTGCCACACTCGCCGCAGATAGTGGGGCGTTCACCAGCCGGGATCCTGGACCGAGGAATCTTTGGGGGGCCTTGGGCTGGTGGTCGGGCTCTGTAGGACTTCTCACCACTATGAGTTCGCTGATGTTTTATACGGGCAGAGCTATCCCCAAAGCCCTTGCCACAGACCCCACACTTGTAAGGCTTCTCCCCTGTATGGGTCCGCTGGTGTTTCACCAGATCTGACATCTGCCGAAAACTCTTGCCACACTCACCACACACAGCAGCCCGATCACTAGCCTGGCCCCAACGTGGCTCTCCCAGGAGCCGGGGACCTCTGTCCCGAGCCTGAGGTTTTCCTGGTCCCTCTCTCTGGACCCACAAGTCATCCCAGGTCTGGATGCCTTCAGGTTTGAGAGAGGCATTTCCTACTTCATGACCTGGGGCCAAATCTTCCTCTTCCTTGAACCCCAAGTCATCCTCCTGTGGGGTATGTTCAAACTCATCCGGCTGAGAAATCTCCACATTCTCTCTCCCTATACCTGGGGAAAGAAAAGGGAGCAATAGACCCTGCCCTTTGGCTCAGCCCCTATCTTTGATAACAATTTCCCCAGCAAGGCTTCCTTGACAATCTGCAGTCACAAGGATGCTTTCCCTCTCTCTCCTCTGAACTTCTGAAACACTTATTATTGCTCCCTCTCATTAACAATGGTAATTTCCTTAACATGTGCCCTTAACGTGTACCAGTCACCGAACTAGGCATCACTGAATCCTTGCAAACAATGCTACGAGATAATACGGTTACTACTCTGTTTTTATAGACAGGAAGACTCAGAGAATTTAAGTTACTTGCTCAAGATTACAAAGGTTAGAAAGTAGCAAAGTCACATTTCTAACTCAGTTCTGTATAATTCCCAAGCCTGTATTAACCACGTTATACTGTCTCTATTTGGAAAACCTAGTATTTGCTATTTTTATTATATCTTCTTATATTAGCCCACCCTGTAATTTATTACTTCAATCATCTTGCGTGTACATGAGAGGACCCAGACATATGCCTGTCCCTCAAAATGCATAAGGCTGGTAGGAGAGAGACGATCAAGCACAAATAATTCTAATTGTGGGCTCAGAATAACTGCTGTCACAGGAGAGAGAGGAAATAAGGAGACAGGGCCACGCTTTCACAACAAAAGAAAAGAGTAAACCATGGAGAGGAATGAAAGATAAAGCTGAAAAGGGATGTTGGGACTAGATTAAGCATGTAAGGCCTAGATCGAACACTAGACTTTTGATTAGTAGGCAAAAGGGAGCTAGGGAAGGTTTTTGAGAAGGGAAACGATTAAATCTGGACTTGGATCAATGTGGCCGCTGAGTGCATCACTGAAGAGAACAGGGGTGTGGGGAGGCTGTTGCAATTGTCAGGATGAGATAAAACGAGGCCTGAAGTAGGGCAGAGGCAGTGAGGCTGGTGATGATTGTCGAGGAGCCGGGAGAGTCCTTGAGATGGAGCCCCTCACGGTCTGACGCACAGTAGGTGCTCAGAAACGTTGGCTCCTTAACCTCGGTTTTTGCTCCCCTCCCCCTCCCCCTAGAAGCACAGTTCAAGTCCGATTTTTCTGGGTCTAGGCCAAACACAGCCCAGCACCGGAGTCCCCACCCGGCCTTTACCTGCCGCTGGCGGCGCACCCGCCCCGGCCCTCACCTGTGCGGGCGCCTCTCAGCTGCTCCCTCTCCTCTGCGCCCTGGAGATCCGGGCCCCAGGGCTCCACCGCGCGCTCCATCGCCCGCACACCGCCCTGAGCAAGGGGACAGACACAATCCCACGGTCACACAGCCATGTGCGGCCCGCGGCGCCCTGCCGCTGCCCTCTGCCGGCCACCGCGAGCACCGGGCAGCGGCCGGGTCCGAGGTGCGGGGCGCGGTTCCCGGTGACCCCCGCCCGCGCCGCCGGCCGCCCCTGCACCTGCTGCTCCTTCCGGCCTGCAGCGCCCCCTTCTCCTCCTGGCCGCCTCCGGCTATGTCACCCCGGCACCCTCGCGGGCTCCTCGGCCGGGCTCCGCTGCCCGAGCCGCCGGCGGCCCCGGGATGCGGGCTCCGCGCCAAATGGGGAGGGGGCTCGGACCCAGGCGTCCCGGGGGCGGCCGCCGGGGGCGGGGACGGGAAGCGGAAGCGCTGGTCCTCACCGAGCCGCTCTAGGACCTGGGAGGAGCTGCGCGCCTGTGGGGGCCGCCCGCGTCCTCCGGAGCTCGGTGGCCCGCGGGAGGCCGCGAGCCGCGGACAGGGCTACTCTAAGCCGAGGACAGTGGCCCGAACTCGGTGGTATTAACTGTGTACCTCCTGGGCTGGAGCCGGGTGTTGAGGTCCGAAGACGCTTCCTAATTATCGCTGTGTCGGGCAACCGGCGCCGACCTCCGGGGCTTGCCGACTGCGCCAGCCACACCGGCCCGGAGAGACAAAGAGAGATCCGAAGACTGACCCAGGGAAAGGGGTGGGGGAGAGACCACGCCAAACAAAGGGCGGCGGAGGGCGGCGGAGACCCCAGACGGGGCGGGGGCGGGGCGCCGAGACACAGGAAACAAAGCGGGGCCGGTCCGAGAGGCCTAGGGCCGGGGGTGGAGTGGGGAGGGGGGCTGGGCTAGGGGAGACCGAGGCCCGAGCAGCAGCTAGAGGATAGAGGGAGACTCCAGAGAAATGATGGGGAGAGGGTGGCGGAGCGGAGACCCTGAGCCAGAGACTCATAAAGTCGTAACCTAAGAGCCCCGAGTCAGAGAGGACACAAAGGCAGAGAGAGAGAGAGAGACCAAGAGACTGCGACGGCCTAAAAATACAGGAGCAAGAGACTGGCCACCAGAGACAAAGAGATGTAGAAACATAAGAGATAGTTATGAAGCCCAGTCGGAGAAACTATAAGAAAAGGAAGGGAATCCGGAGAGAAGCATGCCAAGAGGCAGAGGAACAGACAGTGAAACAGGCAGAGACAAAGAGATAGAGACACAAAGAAAGAGCCCACGGGGAGACTAGGGGACAGGTCAACAGACCTACAAAGGCCAAACCCAGGGAGAACCTAAAAACATTAAACCCTGATTCCCAGCTTGGTGCAGCCACTGGCTCCTGGCTGCCATGGCTGGGTCTGTGTTCCCGGGTATCTGTGCTCTGAGCAAGCTTGCCTTTGGGGAAGAGGGGAGTGCCTGGAAGTGTCCCTTGATGATCTGATGATAGGGAGGGGTGACTGAGGTTTGTATATTAATTCACATTTAATTAGCACTTAATGCTAAGCCAAGAGTTTGGGATAAAGAGATGAAACACATAGAAGATTTGTCCTTGGGTGGTTCGATGTGGTAAGCACACCAATCATGAAAAAGAAAGAATTGTGAGGGGCGTCTGGGTGGCTCAGATGGTGAAGCGTCTGCCTTGGGCTCAGGTCATGATCTCCAGGTCCTGAGATCAAGCCTCCTGTTGGATTCCCAGCTCAGGGGGGAGTCTGCTTCTCCTTCTCCCTCTGCCTCTCCCCTGCTTGTGCTCTCTCTCTCTCTCCATCTGTGTCTACCTCTCTTAAATGAATAATTATAAAAAGAATTGTGAGGGCATGAGAGAGTTCCATGTACTGGTACAAGATAGTGTGGGAGAGCAGGAAGAATTCTAAGCTGTGGGAATGAGTCTGCATGGTTCTGGGTGCCTGGTGTGCATGGATGTTAGACACTGACAGAAACCAGGACCACAAATCAATCAGCACATACTTAGGGATCACCAACCAATATCTAGACACTGTCTAAGCGCTGAAAATACTAAGGAACTCAGGAAGCTCTTGGTCCAGTAGAATATGGAGATGTGCGGGTGATGAGCCAGATTCTCTACCAACCTGATAAGAAAAATATGATGGGAGTGGAGAGAGATCTGTCGAGTTGGTGGCTGTGGACTCTGTCTTTAAGGCCATTCCTGCAGTCTGATTCCTGACCTTGTCATTTACTACTGTTTGACCCTGGGGAGATTTCTTCTGTTTCCTAACCTGTAAAATGGGGATGATAATAGCTAACTTGAGTGGTTAGGAATTCACATGTGTTATATGTATAAAGTGCTTAGCCAAAAATAATAGCTTTTACTCTTTTGGCTGGAGCAACAAGAAAGAAACTGGCATTTTTGAGCTAAACCTTTCAGAACAGCTCGGATTTCTGCAAAGTCCAGAGCAGGTTGAAGCGGGGTTTGAATGAACTCCAGGCAGAGGGAATGAAATGAACACCTGCCTATACACTAATTGAAAACCTACTATGTGCTAGAAGTTTGAGATCCAAAGATGGTTAAAACCTCTTCTCCAAGAGGAAGACAGAATAGTTGTGTTTTAATGTGTCATGAGTTCACATAGTTGGAAAGCAGTGGAAACTGAAGATAGAACAGTACGTTTATTCATTTGTTCCACAAACATTTCCTGGAGCCCCAACAGGTGCCAGGCACTTGAGCTGGAAAACAGAGGTAAGAGGGTACCAGATGACAGAGAGCTAGCCCCTCTTGGAGGAACCTTCCCCTGAAGGGTGGCCAGCCCACACGCCATACTCATCACAGAGCTACCTTTGACTTTGGGAAGAGAAAGCGTGGAGTTATTGGGTCTGAACCTGAATTTGGGTCCAAAGGTGCAGAAGCCCCTCTAGAGATGCCTGCTGGGAATATAAGATTGGTGGCAAGATGAAAAAGAACTAATCCAGATGATTAAATGCGAAGATGTCTATCTACTATATATTACTCCACAGGACTCTCAAGGTAGGATTTTACTCTGAACAGGCCCCAAAACTTACTGCATGAATGAATGGACATAATTCGCTGGAGTAATAAGTGTGTAAATGGAATATTGTGCTACCTGTAATTCATGTTATCTCTACAAGCCAAGAGCCTTTTCTTTTTCTTTTTTTTTTTTTTAAGATTTTAAAAAATTTATTTATTTGACAGACAGAGATTGCAAGTAGGCAGACAGGCAGGCAGAGAGAGAGGAGGAAACAGGCTCCCTGCTGAGCAGAGAGCCCGACTCAGGGCTCAATCTCAGGACCCTAGGATCATGACCTGAGCCTAAGGCAGAGGCTTTAACCCAGTGAGCCACCCAGGCGCCCCCAAGAGCCTTTTCTGTAGGGCAATTTGTTAACAGGCACAAACGCCTCAAATATGTGACTTCCTTTGACTCAGTAATTCCCCTTACAGAAAGGCCTAAGGAAACAGCTGGACAAGTACACAATGATGGCTCCACAAACATGACCAACCCAGGCCAGCATTGTTCGTCAACTGAGAAAAAACGGAGACAATCCAAGTATCAACACCTATAGAAATGATAATGCAGGTGACCAACAGATACATGAAAAGATGCTCAACATCCCTGATCATCAGGGAAATGCAAATCTAAACTACAATGAGGGGCACCTGGGTGGCTCAGTGGGTTAAAGCCTCTGCCTTCAGCGCAGGTCATGATCTCAGGACCCTGGGATCTAGGGTCCATGATCCCAGGGCCCTGGGATCGAGCCCCAGGGCTTGATCAGGCTCTCTGCTCAGCAGGGAGCCTGCTTCCCCCTTTCTCTCTCTGCCTACTTGTGATCTCTGTCTGTCAAATAAATAAATAAATAAAATCTAAAAGAAGCAAACAAACTACAACGAGATTTCCCCTCACGCCTGTCAGAATGGCTGAATCAACTATACAAGAAACAGGTCTTGACGAGGATGTAGAGAAGAGGGAACCCTCATGCTCTGTTGGTGGGAAGGCAAACTGGTGCCACCACTGTGGAAATCAGTATGGAGGTTTCTCAAGAGGTTAAAAATAGAGCTACCCTACAACCCAGCAATCGCATTACCAGGTATTTACCCAAAGAATACAACAACATTAGTTCAAAGGGATACATGCACCCTGACTTTCATAGCAGTGTTATCTACAATAGCCAAATTATGGAAGCAGCCCTGTCCCAGCTGGATCCAGGTATCATAACCTGAGCCAAAGGCAGATACTTAACGACTGAGCCACCCAGGCGCCCCTGTAAATGAAATCTCTTTAAAAATAAATTAATAATGGGGCACCTGGGTGGTTCAGTTGGTTATGCTTTGGCTCGGGTGATGGTCCTGGGGTCCTGGAATGGAGCCCCGCATCGGGCTCCCTGCTCCCCGGGGAGTCTGCTTCTCCCTCTCCCACTCCCCCTGCTTGTGTTCCCTCTCTCGCTATGTCTCTCTGTCAAATAAATAAATAAGCTCTTTAAATAAAGAAAGGAAGAAAGAAAGAAAACCACAAGAGAAAATACCTTTATAGGGACATATTTATGGGGAAAAAAAATCTTCATATAAGTGCCCCCGCCTGCACAGTTTAAATCGGTGCTGGCCAAGGGTCCATCCTACTTGTGTCCCCCAGAGGGGAGGAGCTCCAAGTTTTAATTAAGACCTTAGGCCTGCTCAGCTTGATAAGAAATACAGGAGGAAGGGCTGCGGTAGAGTGAGGAGGGTTATAATTATCCCTTCCCTTGGCTTCTCCAAGTCCTCTGTTTATCTCCTTGTTGCATGACATTTTTAGCACCCGTGTTCTGTGGCACACTTACAGGTGGCTGTCTCCGTCTCCCCAGGGGCCAAAACCCTGAGTCCCTGTTTGGATCCTCAGCAAGGAGCAGTCACTAGGTTTGGGATGATGACACTGTCATAGCCCTCCGCTCAAGTCATGCTCGAAGTAACTAGCATTCTGTGGGAGCTCATCTCAGATGCTGGATACTGAACTAAGAGCTTTATGTTCATTAGACCATATAATCCCCATTGTGACCTAAGAGGTACAATTATTAATTTAACATTTAACAGATAAAGAATTGAAGTCACAGAGAAGTAAAGGATGCCCAAGATCACACAGCAAGTTCATACATCTCTTAATCCTCTGACGGTGGGGGTGGGGGCACGGGGGTACCAGTCATTAAGCATCTGCCTTTGACTCAGGTCATGATCCCAGGACTCGGATCTAGCCCAGCATTGGGCTCCCTGCTTCCCGGAGAGCCTGCTTTTCCCTTTCCCACTCCCCTGTTTGTGTTCCTTCTCTCGCTGTGTCTCTGTCTAATAAATAAAT